AGCCTTGGCAATAACGACCTCTGTGCTGCTGACCTGCCTGACCTGCAACGACCTGCCTATGCCACGCTAAAGCACATTCACTTCCGCGCAGCAACGGTCAAACGGCACTTGGCGAACTTGGCTGTATCAAAAGCAACTGGACCGGATGGCATCTCTGCTCGTGTGCTCAAGATGTGCTCATCTGAACTTGCAGACCCACTGGCAAAGCTCTTCGCCCTCTGCTTCTTAGCCGGTGTGCAACCTGGGGCATGGAAACTTGCCCATGTAGTCCCAGTCCACAAACGGTCCTCCAGATCTTTGGCATCGAACTACCGACCAATATCACTGCTAACGATCATGTCGAAAGTCATGGAGGGCATTGTAAACACGCAACTGGTTAACTACCTAGAGAAGCACGAGGTGTTGCCAAACAGCCAGTTTGGATTCCGACGTGGTAGAGGAACCGCAGATATCTTAACGGCTCTCCAACATGAATGGGTCCACACCATAAGTACTGGCGGTTGTGTCCAGGTCCTCGCCGTGGATATTGCCGGTGCGTTTGACCGGGTATCGCACACAGGAGTGCTGTACAAAGCAAAGCAGGCCGGCGTCGGCGGACGCCTGCTTGTATGGCTACAGGACTACCTCACCAACCGAAACATCCGCGTTGTGGTTGAAGGCCAGACGTCAGATGCTCAACCCATCCAGGCTGGTGTCCCCCAAGGCAGCATCCTAGGACCCAGCCTCTTCCTTCTATACACCTGTGACATTGAACAATGTTTAACTCCAGGGACGCAGCTGAGCAGCTTTGCAGACGACACCACACTCTACAGCTTAGTACAGCCAACTGACGATCTCCAACAGTCCACCGCCTCCCTCCAAGGGTCCCTCAACAGTCTTGAGGAGTGGGGCCGCAAGTGGCGTATCTGTTTTGAGCCAGCCAAGACACAGCGCATGACTCTACATCGCAAGCACGTTCCCCCCTGCACTCCACCAGTCACCTTTGGAGGTGAAGCACTCCAGGAGACAGATACCCTGAAGCTGCTGGGAGTCATGCTCGACCCTACTCTCTCCTACAGAGCGCACACTCGCAGTGTTGCACTGCGCGCCTCCCAAAGGCTGGGTTTCCTACGAAAGGCAGCACCCATCCTGGACGACCATGGTCGAGTGACGGTCTACAAGGGATTCGTGCGACCCCTACTTGAATATGCCCCACTGGCCTGGTCGAGCGCAGCCGCAACTAACATGGCCCAGCTGGACAAGGTTCAGCAACGTACCCTGCATTTCCTGGGACCTGGAACCATCCTCCAAAGTCTTCAGCTTCGTCGGATGGTGGCAGCCCTGTCATACTTGTTCAAGCTGCACTACATTCCAGGGCCTCCCCAGGTAAAGGCCATGCTGCCACCAACCAAGCCCCCTGCCGTAGCTAGCATGTGCACACGGCAAAAACGTCAGACGCACCATGCCTTTCAGCTGAAGTGGACACCCCCTCGCACAGCCCCTGACTACCTCCTGCGATCCTTCCCCTTCTTCGCCATCACACCCTGGAACAACCTGCCTGCGGACCTCCTGCTTCACGAGCCTCATTCAAGACGCCTCCAAACCTTCAAGGTCAACGTATGTAAGGATCTAATCCGAAAGAGATGGCTGTGGTCCACACAGTACCTGTGACGATGATATTGAGATTTGAGACCCATTTAGTATTTACCTCTCTACTACTACTTGCTTGTTATGATTATTGTTCTCTCTCTTCATTTTCCCTTCTGGTTTAGTCATTACACGTATTTATATTATTTGGTGCAATACTAGCGCCCCTTTCTCGCACCAAATTATTATTTTTGCTACCTGACCATGCAACCCCCCCCCTTTTTTTTCGATGCCAGGTTGCAACGCTAACGCCGAGACCCCTGGTCGGTCGAGTTGCTCCCTGTACATCGGCACGTCGTCCCTACATCCCCTGTGTTTTGTCTTGTGTTTGTCTCCACATGTCTCTTTGTAGGGCTGTGTTCCCAATAAAATAAAAAAAAACAAAAAAAAACGTACCTCTCCTGCCCTGAATATCAATAACTCGGATGTCCGTGCTCCGAACCCCTGCTCCTAGAAGCAGTTTGACGAAGAAGGCATGGTCCTCTGACGCAAGATCCCTACTAAGGTTGATGCAGCAACTCCTGGAGGTACTGCTAGACATACTTGGGACATAAGCTAAGAAAACCGCAGAGCGAGAAAATCTGCATCCGCACTCAAATTTGAAAAAAAATAGAGTTAAACCTTTAACCATCGGTCAGCCAACACTGATCCTGATGCCCGTGCCGACCTGCGGGTGAAGGGATTCTAGACCGATAGCCGTAACGCATTCTTCGCTACACAGGTGTTTTATCCCCACGCGTCAAGCTATCGTGCCAAGTCCCTCTCCTCCCTCTGGCTACACCGAAGGTTTGAAGGCGAGAAGAAACATGTCCACGGTGAACGAAGTCGAGCATGGCTCCTTCACACTGTTAGACGTTAGTGTTCGCCTCCTGTGGTGGCACTGACCCAGAAGCAGCCGTGGTAATCAAGAGGCTGGCGCACGGCTTGACCACCAGACGCAACACTGTATATCATGTGCACATTCACATGTCTGAAGGTTTGTGGTTTTTCAATAAAAAACAAAACAAATGCGGCCTATAGCCGGGTTGTAGCTTGGCTGCTTGGCATTTTCTCTCGCCAGGTCTGCCATCCGTTGCGTCCGCGGATGCTCTGTTCGCCGTCGTCACTTCGACCTCGTGCCTGTCGACCTCGTCCAGGGCTGAGGCTTGTCTGGCTCGACATTAGACTGTATTCACAGCCATTTATCTCCTTTCTTCCTGTTGTATAATTACTATAATTGCTATTCGGTGTGTATTTACCGCCATATTGCCAGGTGCGTGTTTACCACCATAATATGAATAAAATACCCTGCACTGTCCACCGGCACCATGCCAGTGCGGCGGCAATGGCAGACTGTACATGTACAGTAAATCCTGTGAAGGCGACCACTCGGATAAGGCGACCACCTGTCCAAGAAGACCACTGCAATCAGGACCAAGGGATGCTATTTCCAGTCAAATGACCCTGGCTAAGGAGACCACCTGGTTACAGAGACCACGTTTTGAAGGCCCCTTGAGCGGTTGTCTTAGACAGGTTTCGCTGTACTAACAAGAAGATCTACTACTAGCCCTTTCCCAAAGGTGCTCTTTTTAAAATTCGCACTTAGTGCTTTTCGCGTCCCTCAAAATATGCTGAAAAAGTGCTCTTTTTTCAGTGATAACAGGCAAAAAGTGCTCTTTTTTCAGTGAAGCATAGCTATGATACATATAAACACATGCGGAATAGTATGGCTGGGATATATGCTTGACCCTTGCCCACTAATAATATACTATAGTACATGTCAGTGAAATTCCAAATTCATCCATAAAAGGTATTTCTGAACGCATTTTGTCCATAATGTGTTGTCCTCATTTTCTTCAGAATATTTGAATTATATGCTGGCTTCATTCCAATATTCCCTTTGTCGCTCAATATGCCATACATGTATATGAACTGTCTCACAAAAATATGCGGAAATATGCGCAAGCATATTTGGTCGAGGCCTAGTCTACACCGTTCTAAAGAACAGGGATGATGTGAAGTAGGCACGTTCAACCATGGTCAACTATTACTTGCGGGCGCTCCACCAAAACGCCGCGATGGGGTGGGTGACGACTGACGAGATCGCCTCTTGGTTGGCACGTGCTCGAGCAGCAAATCTGGACATCACAGACGATGTGCTATAACGATCGTCGACTGAAGCGGTGAAAATAGCGGAGCGACTTCAGATCAGCGACGAGGAATTGAGTTCTCTGCTGATAATGGCTTCATTGGTCGCGTCTAAACTCGTCCCCAAGTGGCTTTGAAAGCCGGTGACACTGACAGGCGAGAAGCAGCTGCTGAAACTCAGCCTGTTTGCCAAACAGGGTGTGAACTATGAACCCGCCTCTCGGCGCTAGGAGTGGGAGTACAGCTCATTCGATCGTCTTACCACCGGCTTACGATTGTGTTGAGAAACGCAATCAGCTTTTGTAGAGAAGTAATTCGCGCGTGCCAGGCCACCACCATGTGGTATATGCATTGTGCTTACACCTTTTTCAAAAAGGGTGATTTTCACCGTCTTAGCCATTCCTTTCTGACGAGAGTTTTATAAACGTGTACTGGAAACAGCTGCATGAACGAACTCAGTACCAACGCCACGGATGTATCGCTTTGCTGTGGCAACGGCGTGTCGAGGTCGGCAGGAGAGCGCAGTTATGTATGGTGTGCATGTGGTGCACCGGTACGGTGGTGTACATGTATGATAAGAGAGCCTTCTGTCACTGGAACAAATCGGTGCCTGTTCATGTTGGTTGTGGATTGCTCCGATTGGTTGTGTTTCCTTCAGACTCAGAGTTCTTTACTGCACACTGACCTGCACGGCTGCAGTGCAGACACCTAGTTTTGTAGTCGGTAGTCCTCATCCTTGCATGCTGGACGGTCGGCAGCCTGCACACGTACTACACAGTAGATCTACAGTCAGTACACTTGCATGTGCATGTACTTGGCACTGACATTTTGACACTTGAATACATGTCTTGGTGTACTGACAGCCTGTGCTAGTGTGCAACTACGAGAAGTAGTCGACAAGACGATTAGTAACACGGTTTCGATGCAATTTATTTTGACTTTCGAAACTGCCGTGGGCACAGACTGTCAGTCAGCGGCGAGTATGACGCACGTCTCTCCCGTCACGGCCCGGCGATATGCAACTACGAGTCACTACCCGTCCTGGCCTGGCCAGAGCACTGCCATGTCGACATTTCGTCGAACGCAGGAGGTTACCGGCCGGGTCCTGGTCACCAGACCCAAGGCAAAGGAATACCTCGACGTGACATCGTCGTAATTCAACACATTTCGCTCGTGTGCTATCATGTGTTCCTTATTGTGACAGAGACTCAAGTGTCCAGATCGAGATCACTGGCGGCACGCCACATTCGAAATCTTCGTGGGCACTGCTGGCACGAGCTATGAAATAGCGGGGTGCAGGAGAGAAGGACGCTCTTCCAGGATGCCTAAGAAGAGATCGGTTTGTTCAAAGGAGCTCTACTTAGCCGCGTCAGGTGAGTTGATTCATAAGCCTTTGAGCTTTGTTCGTCTTACGCTGTTGAGGTGATGTGGCATAGAGATTAGACTTTCGCGTTGGAACTAATTACTTACATAGAAGTAGGGATATTGTAGTAATACTTATTATACTAGCGGATCGTAGGTCTACTCGGCGACGGTCCCCAAAACTATGGTCACCCCGCGCTTAGTGCCATGCCCTGTCGCTGTTTTGCCGTAAGGGGCCGTCCGTAAATATCGATGTTTTTTTAGAGACGATATTGGTGCTTCTCTCTCTTGACCCCCCCCCCCCCCTCCCCCCAGAAGACGCACATGTACATCTAGATCATGGAATCAATATTTTTGGATGCTCATTTTTTTCCTTTTTTTGTCAATAATATGAACCCAAGATGGCAAGTTTGCAGTATTTATATGGTCTAATTGAGAAGGAGAGCATTATGACTTTACAACTCATCGTACAAAAAGCGTTCAAAGTGCAACTCATCGTGTACTGGTGTAGCCAAAGCGGCTACGCTCGGGCTTGAATTTTTTCAATTCCTTGTTCAGACAGTGAAGACTGGAAACTCTTGTGGAGTTCATCCGTGTTTGTTCGCACTGCCTCTACGTCTTGAAAAAGGTCTCCTGCAGGCATCGTTCGGCCGATTTCCACAATCAATAGCTCATTCTTTTGCTCTTGAAATTCGCCATGGGCGTACAGGTTCCAATTTTTGATTTTGTTCTTGTGTCGCGAGTTTTAGCTCCGCGAACGGAATCTGGTTTCACATTTCTTGTATAGCCATTTAGACGTCCGCGTGCAGGGATCGGCGAAACTTCAGATATTTACATCGATATTTTTCTGATGCTCGAAAAGACGCACATGGCTCAAACCCCTTCCCCCCCCCCCCCCCAGACGCACCAATATCGTCTCTAAAAAAACATCGATATTTACGGACGGCCCCTAACCGATGACGATTTGATACGGGTGTCGTGCTGGATGACTCCGTTCCTGGTCTGAACCAGGGAGTCGTATAATCCCGACTCCCTGGTCTGAACCGTAGTTTGTGTAGTGCGAACGGTGGTGTCATGGGATGTAGTCTGTAGAGCGTAGTGTAGATCGATCGCCTGTCCATTTATAGACCTGCCGACGGCTGTAGTATTGGTAAGGAGATCTCCATTGAGGTTGTGCTGGCAACAGCCAGTAGATCTACTAGTACAGTAGGGAGGTCACCTCAAGGCTCAACATGTACAGGCTGGGTAAACATGGGCATGCTATGGAGAGTTCTAGCTGGGTCAAAATGGTGTGTGAGTGTGTGTGTGTGGGCGGAGGGGGGGGGGGCAGGGGAAACAGGTGCCCCGTAAAGCGTAGTTCACATTCGACGGGGCACGACGGGACGGGAAGCAACGGGACGGCCTGATGGCGTCCAATGGCAATGTGAACACCAGGAACGGGAACGTAACCGTACTACTGTACAGATCGGGAAGCGACGGGAACCGTTGGATTACGGTTCAACTTTTTATACCGTAGACGGGCGTAGCAAGCGTAACGGCTGCATTTTGAGTGTGAACAGGAGACGGCGTCGGGCGTCGAATACTCCTGGTTCGTACTTGGGAATATTTAGCGCTTCGAGCACTGCGCTTCCCATGATAACTCGCAGAATGGCTAACACAACTTGAGTTGAATTTTAGCAAGATAAAATCTAATGTCACTTGAGGTGGCAGCCTGGTCGTAAAATCACTGAAAAATCGAATTTGTAAATTCATATCGAGTGCTACATCAGTCGAAAGAGCATGAACAGCTGCAAAATCTCTGAATGTTTTGTCTCGATCTGACCAGCCGTTCAAGAGTTATGGCCGAAAATGTGCCCTTGCAAGGAAAGATTTTTTTGTTGCACGCTGTCATTTGTTGGCAGCACTGTATTTGAATGTGAGCAGGCCGTGCGCAACTTGTCGTATCATGGAAACACGCGAAAGTGTGCAGAATTTTGCTCCAAGTCCAAAAAAGTCCAAAAAAATCACGTTAAAAAACCACGTATTGGGCTGCAGGAGTTTTGCCAGCACCCTCGTGACGTTGGAGATATGTGGCTTGATTATTGTAGTTGACGTTGATTGAGTGACTTTGGCAAGTTTGAGTCGTGTTAAGAAGTCAGGTAGGATTCAGTACTAGGCAGTAGTGGAACGTGAGTGGTAGTCTTTGCCGATTTTGGAGGGTATCCTGGATTCGGTTTGAAGCGCTGTGGAAATGGCTTGCTGTGGAAGTCCCAGCACTGGATGTTGTGTCAAAGGTACGACTTCGTAGCACGCCCTGAACCTAAAAAAATTCAAAAATTGACTTGGGTCTGTGGGAGTCTGTGACAGAACGCCCACTCCTGCCGTTGTGACAGATTCCAGGGCCACGCTGAAGGGCCCTATCCCACCACCCATGGCTGCTTCTGGACGTTTTTTAGGTTTGGATCCCGCGCACGGACAGAATTGGCTAGAAAATGTGAAAAAATTGTAAATGTATTTGTTTGGCTCCTGGGTGGCTCGCAAACCGTGGCACTATGCCGGAATTTTGAGTTTTTCCGGCCTGGAAAGCCTGTCAGTGAGGCGCACGAACTTTTAAATCATGTCCAGAGGGCCAGCATAGTGGCAGGAGTGTGTGGTGCAAATTTCACTCAAATCCATTGAGAGACACCAAAGTTACGGTCAATTGAATGCCATATGAAATTTAGGACCAGGCTGCTACCTTAAGGCATGTAGGGATAGCTCAGGAGCGTGACAGACGAACTGTTTAATTATTTCCTGGGGCTATTACTTGAATGGCACAACTTGTCGGGCTTCATTTTTTGGTCTTCATGAAACTGTTTTTGTGAACTTGACTCCGCTTCATTCAAGGAGAAATAATTGAAAAATGTCTCGAAAAATAAGACATTAGGTCCGAAAGTCACCCCGTCACGGACCGTGCCTTATGACTCGTGCCGTTCGCCGTTGAACATCGCAATAACTGCAGCATATCGTGTCGTACAAAGATTTTACCGCTCACCCCAGCCGTCCCGACAAGCCCTTACGTCCCGTACCGTCAGCGTTGCGTCGGATGTGAACTAGGCTTAACCCATTTTTTTAATTTTCAAAAATAGTTTTCCATACAAAATGCAACGTATGTGGGCAAATCTTTACCGCAGACAAGTGTGTCTTTGTGAACCCTCTATTACTGACTATCGACTGCATTTTCGTTGAATGGCATGACAAAACCCACAAAATTGACAAATGAGTAGGGGCGCCACTTTTTCGCAGGAGGGCGCTCAATCAGAGTAGGGAAGGGGGGGGGGGCTGTACCCCTGCCCTCCGCCCCCGCCCCCCCCCCCCCCCCCGCTAGAAACCAGAAATCAGCTATGTAAGCCCGGTGTACTCTGTATGGGAACGGGGTAGACCTACCAGTCGCACCAGCAATCGCACCACTGTACATGCATGGATAACATTATAATGCGATATACATGTACATGTGCGTGTTGAGTAGGAAGGTTTTCAATTCTGGTGGTGAGATGGGTAGATGGGGAGATGTTTCAAAACCATCGGCAAAATCCGGAGATCCACCGCTGGATAGAGAGACTTGGCACCTCTGCATCTAGACGGCTGTAGCTCTTTGTTGCCCACAACTGCTGAGTACATGTACATAGTATGTACCTTTGGATGGATCATTACAGTACTGTCGGTCGCCAAAGAGCGGGCCCAGCGGGGTCAGCCTCGTAGCCTAGACCGTTCTTAGTCAGAAGTACTGCAGTCTATGCACAGGTGCGTCATTGGTGTGCTGTGCTTGGTGAAATTCTAGGCTGCTCGTTCTTCGGCGCTCCGTTCTTTGGTGCCCGGCAGTTTACTCTGGCGTATACATGTACTAGTAGCATCGAGTGCTATTCTACTGTTCTACTGCATATTCCTTTGCATGCTGAACAGTGCACTAGCACTTGGGTGGGTGTAGAGATCTACGTCAGCTGAGTAACTTATCCTGTTCCTGAATGTGCCGTCAAATCTGGGTGCTTCTCAGAACGTATCTACATACTTCGAAGTTGGTTGATGTATCTTTTCTTTTACGAGCTGAGATTAGAACGAATCAGGCGTAAATTCCCCATAGCCCTGCATTGAGCAGGAGTGGTACCTTGTTTTCAGTTTTGCCATGTAGAAAGCTTGACATGATTCTCGTGTGCTCCAGGCGACAGTCGTGAATCAATCAAGTGTCAGTCCGTGGACACGAGGCGTGTAGCTTGGATGCTCTGGCTGGGGCTCTGATTGCAGCAATATCTGTTTGAGCATATGTGTATGTGTATGTGTGTGTGTCTATGTGTGTGTGTTGTGTGAGTATGTATGTGTATGTGTGTGTGTGTGTGTACGTGTGTGTGTGTGCACGTGTGTGTGTGTGCACGTGTGTGTGTGCACGTGTGTGTATGTAAGTGTATGCATGCATGTGTTTGTGTGTGTGTGTATGTGTGTGTTTGTGTGTGTGTGTGTGTGTACACATACCTGATACAGATTAGGACTTAGCTTCAACGTGTAGTGATCCAGCCTTGTTGGAGCGCTAGTGTAGTGAGCGAGGGCTTGCTTGCCCAGCGGCTCTTTGTTGGAGAGTGGATGTAAAGCTCTGGGTCATTCTAATCAACTCTAGGCACCGTGAGCTTTGAGTTCTCTGTTCCCATGAGTACAAACTTCTCTCAAGGCAATCTATAGTTCATGGTACGTACTTGGGTGGGAAGGGAGAGAGAGAGAGGAAGCATGTACTCTCTCTCCCTCCCTCTCTCTCCCTCCCTCTGTGTCTGTCTCTGTCTGTGTCTGTCTCTCTCTCCCCCTCTCTGTCTCTCCCTCCGTCCCTGCGTCCCTCCCTCCGTCCCTCCCTCCGTCCGTCCCTCCCTTCCTCCCTCCCTCTTTTCCTCCCTTCCTCCCTCCCTCCCCCCGCCCCTCCCTCCCTCTCTCCCTCCCTCCGTCCCTCCCTCTCTCTGCCTCTCTCCCTCTCTCTCTCTCTCTCCCTCCCTCCGTCCCTCCCTCCGTCCGTCCGTCCGTCCGTTCGTCCGTCCCTCCGTCCCTCCCTCCGTCTCTCTCTCTCTCTCTCTCTCTCTCTCTCTCTCTCTCTCTCTCTCTCTCTCTCTCTCCCTCCATCCCTCTCTTGCACCTTCTTGGATACATATTCCAGCTGAGTATTCCAAAATGAATCTGGGTCAAAGACAATGACCTTATGTGTGTTTCCACCTAATGACACTTATCACCGATTCTTTCCTGCTGGAAGCATACATGAATGGGTAGTTACTGCTGGGGGACAAAGGTTATCTATGTTTTCAATATTGCTCGGTCTCAAACAGCAAGTGGACAGCATCCATTCATGTACATGTACATTGTATACTATTGTCTAAATGCTGCAGCTCTCGACATGTATATATATATATATATATGTATTGAAATTTCACCACAGTGCTTTTGTGTTGATTTTCTTCGTGGCAGAACAATTGAGCTGGGCAGGGAATTATCGTTGTGAACAATGACAGCAATGGCGGCCTGGAGCTGTGCAAGCATTGACTAAGCCAACAACAAGACGCGTGCCTGCGCACTGGTAGCGGCGGCACAATGTCAGCCGACGACGATGGCTGCCGTGAAACGTACGTGTCAGTCACACCACCGCCGCTGATTACATTCATTAAGAATGTTCTGAAAGACTACCCAGATGGTGGCCAGACTTTGAAGGTAAACCATAAGATCAATAATGATATAACAGTGTGCCTGGTTGTGTTAAAAATAAAAATCATATATTGGACTCGGATGGAGAGCCAAGGGTAAATTTATAGCAAAGAAAAAAGGACCAAGAAACTACAAGTTACGCTATAAAGTCCACTAACACCACCAGTTACTAAACAATCAGCTCGTGCGATAACATTGCACGACCCTGACCGACGGTACTGACGTTCTACAACTAACTGGTTACTTTTAGTTTCTTGTTCCTTTTTTCTTCGCTATAAACTTAATATTCACATTTCATACGAGACACAGGCAGATAAGCTGTTTTTGCATCCACGAGAATGTACCACCCCCTCTTCTCCCCCCCCCCCCCCCCCACTGCCACGCAGCCTGGGTAGTGTGTGGGTGTCTGCAATGGAGTTTGAAAATCCTTATTTAAGTTAAATATGGCTGTGCTGTACCTCAACTGCGAATATTTCTCTTTTACACTTTTTTTGCGTGTAGGAACTGCTTCAGAATGCAAATGATGCTGGCGCAACGCGTGTTCAGTTCCTACTTAACTGTGAACAATACAGTGCTGGTGATCTGATTCACGCCAACATGGCACCGCTGCAAGGTCCTGCACTCTACGAGTACAACGATGGCGTGTTTGCCAACAGCGACTGGAAAGGGATCTGTCACCCGTCGCGCAGCAAAAAGAGAAAGGATGTGATGAAAGTCGGACGCTTTGGCATCGGTTTCAACTCAGTTTACCATCTGACTGGTAAGGCACTTTTCAAATTACCATGTACAGTCGACTCCACTTGTAACGAACTCGCAAAGTTATAGCGAATTTCGTGATATAGCGAACCATTGTCCATGTCCCTGTTTGAACCCATACAAAAAATGACACTTTATAGTCGGAACAGGTTTCGTTTATAACAAACCAAATCTTTAGGGCCGCATGTAAACCAAAGTGCAATCACACTGTCATGGGCCACATGCCTGTCATGACTTGCTGCTTGTAGAGTGTGAGTGCATTTCTGTTATAACAAACTTTGGCTATAAAGAACTAATTTTCCTGCACAATGGTGTTCGTTATATCAGGAGTCGACTATAATATGAAAATACAGTTCTCAAAAAAACCCGCGAAGACTCCACTGTAGCCATCCAGTATACCCATGCATCTTCACAACACTCTCCAAACGGTCTCTGGGCTACACAAGTCACTAACAGAAAACAAGAGAGATAATCATTCGAATTTTCGGGCAAGATCGGTGTAGCTCAGAGACCGTTTGGAAAGTGTTGTGAAGATGCATGGGTATTGTAATGTGCCGAGTACAACATTATCTCTTGCCGTGAGCCTGGATACCCGGATACCTTGAGCTGTTCATGTGACAGTCACAACCCAACTTACTTGTGCTGTGTGCCTGGTGTACAGTCCATTTCAAAACTATAGACGCGTACCTAGGCGAAAACCATTATGCCAGCATCTATACCACATAAAATCTGTGATCACTTTGTGCATACGTTTTTCCAAATTGGGCGTCTGTTATCCAATCGTTTAGAAACTATATGAGAGTAATTGTGGAGCGGACCTGAGCAATATTCCGAAACTATTCTCAAAAGGTTCCAGCCAAATTTGAAATATTTCAAAAACACTAGGCGTCTATAGTTTTGAAATGGACTGTAGGGTTACTGTACTGCAGCTAAACTGTAGATTTCCCGGCTTGGAGTTTTATAAATTTAGTGGCATTGCTTTCCAAGTGTTGCCAGAAAATGTGCAGTCCCAGCTCCAGCCTTAGGTCATTCTTGCCACAGTTATGAAGTACTGCATGCAAAAATGGTCCGAGTTTGGGTAAACACCGCATTACCCCATGTATCCATGCATAATATTATACATGTACATACACAACACGTACAGGAAAATACAGAACGATTCAGGCTTGCAATGCTTATTTCATTGGAAATTATCAGGACATTTATAAAAATTTATAGTGGCACATTGCGGCAGCGCACAATCAGATCGAATATCATGTTACCTCATACACACTGTGCATACCACCTAGCTGTGCATGGGCGCATGGACTATATAACAACTAGGCTTCGCTGCGCAAAGCCTGCCTATAACAATTGTTCGGCGAATACGTTTCAATGAATTTCTTCTTTCGCTTTTGTGTCTATCTCCTTTGTCCTGGTGCAGATGTTCCAGGCATTCTGAGTGGTACGCACGTCTGCTTCATTGATCCAATGCTTTGCCACATTACGGACCCCTCTGGCTGTGATAGTGACAGCGATGGCGAGGATTATGACGACGATGATGACCCCGCCAATGCCACTGGTGCCAAGCGACGCTCTGGTCAAGAAATGATAAAGTACACAGTGAAGGGGTTTGCAGGACGGTTCCGTGGCCAGGCATCGGCATTCAATGTTTTGGAGCATCGACTCGCCGCTGGTGAAAAGAGTTTCACTGGAACTCTGTTTCGCTTCCCGCTGCGCCAGAATCAACACTCAAAATTATCCAAGACCGTCTACAATGAAGAGGACGTCGAGAAGAAGTTGTTTGCTTCTTTCCAGAAGGAGGCTGACATAATGTTACTCTTCTTGGCGAATATCCGCAGCCTCGAGCTGTTCAAGCAGCCACGCTCCAGTGCTGCTAAGCGTATCCTGCATGTCACCTATACATGTATTGGAGAAACTGACCCTGACACTGAAATGAGCCAGCGTTTACGTATTGCAATGGAGTCCAAGACACTTGCAACGTTGGAAACTCGTATGTGTGTCACAGTGCATTCCGGCAATGACTCTTCAACAGCTCGAAATTGGCTTGTGCGGCACACGGTCGGCTCTAACGATGCCAACATTTGCGAGATTGCAGGAAAGGAGAACCTGCACCCATGGGTCGGCATAGCAGCACCGATCAACGATGATGCGAATTGGTCCAAGCGCTGGCTGACAAGAAGGCACGAGAGCAGCTGCAGAAGCAAAGCATTCTGTTTCCTGCCGATCACGCCAATCGAGACTGGCCTGCCCGTTCACGTGCACGGCTATTTTGCAGTTACCAGCGACCGACGCTCTGTCAAGTGGCCGTGCGCGGACAATACGTCAGATGAAGCCAACTGGAATATGCAACTTGTGCAATCCTGCCTCAGCTCAGCCTATGTGGAAACACTGAAGCGTTTGACAGACGGCTGTCATTTCACTGTACCTGACACGATCCAGCCTGGTGCAGGTGATGACGACGATGACAAGCCAGTGTGCCGTGCGTACTATGCATGGCCCGACATGACACGCGTGGAGCGAAGTGAAAACTCGCCCTGGAGGTACCTGGTGCAATGCATGCTGCCTCTTTTGTTTGAAGAGAAGCTCCTGTGGTCATGGGCAAGAGGTGGCTCCTGGCTGGCAGTCAAGGATGCCTGGATCATGGAAGCTACGTGCAATCAGGCCATGCAAGCAGCTGCTGTGCAAACTGGGCATAACAGAGGCATTGCTGGCAATGTCGTCCAGGCTGTATACGCCTTTCTCCTGGCCATGAACGAACCAGTAGTTCTTCTGCCACCAAGCGTCATGGCAACGCTAAGCAGCACCTCCGACGGAAATTTGAAGCAGCTACTAGCAGAGCGCACTATCCAGCCCGCTTCTCTCCGACAAATTATCGGAAAGCTTCAGGCGTCCAGCCCAGCATGTGGAGAGTATATGACAGCCAACCGAAAGGCTTCCTGTGCTATGGCTAGTTTCATCCTGTCCGACTTTGATGTGGACAGTAGCACCACCCAACCGGAGGCGGCCACAATGGTCAAGGAGATCGAGTCCTTAGCCATCTTTCCAACCCTGCACCTGGCGACTATCCGGTCTCTCAGTGACGGTCGCCCGCTATACGTTCTGCCAGACATGTCCAGTTATGCGAGTATTCTTCCTGGTATGGGACATGTAATGCTGGATACAGGGTCGATCACCGCTATGGATCACACCGCCACTGATACTCTTAAGCACTTAGCTTTGCTCCTAGGCAGCAGCCATCCAACGTTTCAGTTGCTGCGCGATGACCATGTGCCGGAACTTCTCGTGCAGTCCATTCAGACATGGAGTCCGGCATTCCAACGTGGCCACACAACGAGTATAGCTTGGTCCGCCGATGGTGCAGAAAACTGCCCACCGCTAGCATGGTTGGAGGATGTCTGGAAATGGTCTGGAGAAAGCACCCTGACGAAGGATCACCTCGAACCGCTTGAAGGCTTGCCTCTCATACCGGCGATTGAAGGTCTGCTCTGTCTTTGCAAGCAGTCAACAATAGTCATTGAAGGAGACAGCCTGGAGGACACTGTCAATGAGCTGCTAACAGTGGCAGGGTGCACTGTCATCGCTGAGCCACCAGGATTTGTACACCACAACTGTGCTGGAATCATCGGACAGTACATTCTGCCTCACCGACCCACTACCGTTATGACTGCCCTTGTCAATGTGGAGAGGTCCTCATCCGTGGAGGAGGTGAATCGCCGTATAGCCTCACTGTCCATCCGTGCCTCGCAAGACCTACTTGCATTCCTGGCGACAGCTTCACCTAACGAATTCACTTCAGATCAGAAGGAATTGCTACGGAAATTGCAGATCTACGTATGTCACTCATCTGGCCTCACCATGGATCTTGCTAGCAGTGGAAAGCAGCACTATCTTCTGCCAAGAAACCTGCCACAAGATGTGCTAAGTCTAAAGTTGCCAGTGGAGTTTGTGCGGCCTACACCAGACGGCAAAGAAGAGAGCCTGCTGAACTCACTTTCATGCCCCCAGCTTACCTGTGACGAGTTACTGGTTGCATGGCTTCTACCAACAGTTACCTGGCCAGTGAATATCACCATCCTCAACTTTGCCATGGAACTGATTGCGACATCAAAACTGAAGAAGGAATCTCTGCAGAGGATCAGAACAATGGCATTTGTTCCCTGCTCACCGTCTCGCTACTCACTGGCAAGACCAACAGATCTTGTTGATCCGAAGGACGTCCTGGCACATCTGTATGACCATAGTGAGCACTGCTTTCCACACGTACCTGAGGGCATCAATGAAGACAACTGGCTTCCTGGACTGAGAATGGTTGGCCTCAGGAAGGAGGCTGAGCTTACAGCTGAAACCAAGGTGGAAGTCCTGAAGGACAGGGTATCTAGTGTGTCTCGCATCATGACTGGGTCAGCGGATCAAGAAGCTGCCAGGAAGAGAACAGTGAACGTCATACAGTTCATCTCTAGACTGGAGTTGTTGGCATCGTGCGGGCAATACATACAAGAAGAAGCCCGTTGCTTTATGGCACAGCTACGTCCTCCATCCCATGACTACCCGACTATGCTCCCGTGGTGTGGGGAAGACAACAAGAAGCTGTATACACCCATGGAGCTAGTCGCCATGCCTGATAGAAAGCAAGCCACTCTCCTAGTTGGAAGCAGTGCTTCACTGCTTGATGATGATCTATTCAAGGCCATTGGCAGTGATGAGAAAAAACTACAGAGCTTTGGCCTGAAAACGGTTTCAGATCTACACGATGTAGCTGCTAAGCATCTGCGTCAATTGATTGAAACACTTCCACCGCAGGGTCAGGCAAGTGTGATGAGCGGGAAGACGCGGCAGTACTACGATCAGAGCTGTTTTGAAGTGTACCGCTACTTGAAGCCACTTCACGGCGCAGATGAAAGCAAGAGTGAGAGCATCGTGCGGACATACTTGAAGGAACGTGACTGGGTGTGGCTGAGTACACAGCAGCAGTGCAGGTTTGTGTCACCACACAGACTGTTGTATTCGCTACCCGAAGGCATACAGCCAGAGAACCTACAGCCATACCGCTACCAGATGAGTGACGAGTGCAAGGTACTGTTCCAGCCATTCTTCAAGGCGTTTGGAAGCTCCACGTGCCTGGTTAAGAAGGACTTGGTGGATATTCTGCATGAAGTTAGAGGCGATACCCCTGATGGTGGACGAATGTCTGACAGTCAACTCAAACTGGTGCTGGATATCATCAAAAGTCCAGCTATGATATCTGATAATGGTGATCGGGCTGTTGAGAGAAAAATTCTGCTGCCCACTTCAAATTCAACTCTGGTGGATGCAGAACGCTGCCGGTTTTGTGACTGCGGCTTCTTGCTGTGCCCAGCGAAAGGCATTGAACTCAACACCGTCTCGCGATACAATGTGTTGCATAGAGATCTGGATGAGTCAATTGCAAGAAGATACAAGGTTCCTGCCCTCAGCCTTGACATTCTACCATCAAGCTCGCTGCCCTGCACAGTAGATGGAAAGCCGCGTGTGCTGTACAGCGAAGAAATTGCGAGCATCCAGACATCCGACACACTGGAGCAGACAAGTGAGGAGCTGTTCTTCAAGGAGATGCTTGAAAATGCTGAAGATGCTGGCGCTACCCGAGTGCAGTTCACCTTGGACAGCCGCCATACTGCTCCGGATTCCCGTGACAGAACACTGCTGAGCGAGGATTTGAAGCAGTGGCAAGCTCCGGCACTATGGTTTCATAATGATGCTGAGTTCTCAGCAGCAGACTTGGAAAACATCAGACGGCTGAAAACAAAAGCAAAGCGCTTGAATCCAACCCTGATCGGTCACAAAGGACTTGGCTTCAGCCGTGCCTATCACCTGACAGATGTGCCTAGCCTTGTCAGCCAAGAGCGTATTATCTTCTTTGATCCTGTGGGTAAGAGCTTTGGTGTAAGATCTAGTCCCGAAGAGCCAGTAGTGATGGTCGATTTCATCAAGCATCAGGACGGTGTCAGTGTATTCGCTGACCAGTTCTCCACGTATCATGGAACTTGTGGATGCCATGTGCTCTCTCCGACTGCATGCAAGTACCCTGGCACGCTGTTCCGGTTTCCTCTACGCAGCAAGCCAAGTAAGATTTCCAGCCACTGTCCAAGCACAGTCAAGCTTCGTGAAAAATTGGCTGAGCTGGCTAAAAGCATGGATCAGCTGCTCATCTTTCTGCAGCACATCAAGGAAGTCACTATTGACGTGATCCACGAGAATGGCAGCCAAGAGCTTTTGTGTCACTGGCAAGCTGAGGTCGATCAGCACATTGCTGGTGACCCACTGGTGGACAAGCTGCTCTTCACCACAACACAGAGATGCGACGGCAGCTGGAATAGAATGTGTGAGAACATGGTGACTATGAGCAGGAAAGGCGGAGTGCCTCCCTTCACCGTGTACAAGCTAATCATGACAGACAAGACTCACAACATCACCAGCAACTGCCTTGTGGTTGGAATGTTTGGTGGCAATGCAAGTTTAAAATCAGCAGAGAAGTTGAAAGCAGAGACTGGCATTGCTCGCTTGCCCTGGGTAATGCTTGCTGCGCGATTCCATGGCAGACCACCATGCGTTCAACGGGTTTCCGGAAAACTTCATAGGGCTCTTGCAACGTCAATTAGCACCCGTCTTCCGGTGCATATCAATGCCTTCTTTAAGCTGTCAGCGACGGGGGCACGCCTGGAGGAACGCGGTGCCTCTGGAGACTGGAATTCTAGCCTTCTAAAGAACGATGTTCCGAAGGCGTATTCGCTGTTGGTGTCTGGCATGAAGGAACGTATGGAGCAAGAACATGCGCAGATGACAGATGATATGGCACGCACAGTGTATTCTGTGCTCCCCCTTACTGCGCTTGAAGACAATCCATGGACAGATCTGCAACGCAATGTACTTAAGGAGGTCACTTCCAACATCCCATTCCTGTGGACAAGCGTCGGAAGCGGCCAATGGCTCAACTTGTCTTCTGCAATCATCCTGGACAGATTATCTTTCAACGACCAACGCTTGGCAAGCTATGCGAGAGACATCTTGGTCGCTGTGGGGGAGAAGTACGTGGGCCACAACACTGGTGATGATGAAGACTTGCTCAGCAGAATAGTGGATCTCTCTGGCCAAAGGGATGGTGCACTCACGTGTCAGAGCTTCTTCCATGACAAGTTCATGAGTAACCTGCTTAGTCTGACTGATGAGCAAGTGGACAACGGGCTCAAGATGCTGATTAGACTTGGGCAAAACCAGCCAGACACGTGCAGCTGGAGTGTACCACTTCTGGAAGCCAATAAATGTGTTCGATCTCAAGCTGGACAGCTCTGCTTCCCAGGGGAGTTGATTGACCCGCACACAGAAGACAAACGCATCAGGTATCTCTTTGAAACTTGTCCCAGCATGTGGCCATCGGACACATTACGGGACATCAGCGTATTTCTAAGCGAGAAAAAGCTTCTGCTATCAGGTGTCGATACCCTGCCTGTCAGCTTACTACTTCAAGCAGCTAAGTATATAGCTGGGTCTTCTACTGATGGTGTGGATAAGCAAGCTGTGTCTTATCTGTGCGGCATCATAGCTGAAAGGATCAGGAATGAACCACCTGGAAACCAGTTTTTACAAGACCTACGCACGGTGCCATTTCTACCAGTTATGCAAAGACCCGGTGACTGGCACTTACCATGGAAGGCTGAAGAACCTCCTGTCTTTGTTGCTAGCATTGCCGATCTAGTGCCGAAGTGTCAACGGGCAGTTGGTTCAGTGGCACTTCTTCTGGACATTGATCCTGACGTAGAATGCTCTTGGCTCTTCAGTCAATGCTCCCTGGACATGGATTCTCCTCCGTCGCTGGAAGACATGAAACAACAGATCCAAGTACTGACTGCTATTGTGGCTTCGGAGAAACCGGCACATGATAACCAGCGGAATAAGCCAAAGGTGCTAGAAGTACTACTAAATGTTGGTCGCTGCATGGACCGTATCTACGGATTCATGAAGCAGCATATGGCCAGCAATACCGATCAGTTTGATGCAGCTGGATTTGGTGACATGACTTGCATTTGGAGTGATCAACACGCCATGTTTAAGCTTCCCTGTGAAGCTGCAATGTCTGCACCTGAGGGTTACCCAGACCTCATGCCATTCCGATTGATTGTGGATCGAGGACATACGAGTAAATACGCTGGCGTCTTCAGCCGCATCAGTGTCAAGGACGCACTGGATGTAACTGATCTCCATGCCATTCTGTCCAGTCTCCATGCCAACTATCAGGACAAGAACGGGCAGAGAACGCCATTGTCCAAAGAGCATCGTGATCTAGCCATCAAGTTGATTGAGGTGCTGCACAAGTTGAAAGCACTAACAGTGGTGCCTGGTGGCGAACTGCTCCTTCCCACCATGAAGGGACTGATGCTGCCAGCAAGTCAGTGCAACTACATTGACAGAGAGGAATTTTCGGACTTGCTGCAGGGAACTGACAGGTGGACAGAGTTGTGGGACAACGTTGTGCACAGCCGACTGGCTTCTATTGCTCAACACCTGGGAGCTGAATCTCTCAGCAAAAGACTGCTTCCATCTGAAAGCATGGAGTATGAGACGGATGATTTGGAATTTGAACGCGTTGCATACGGTCAGGAATTGACCGATCGCCTTGCCCATATCTTGGAAGACTACCCTGCTGATGAAACGATTGTGAAAGAACTTGTGCAGAATGCTGACGATGCTGGTGCTGGAAGTGTGAAGTTTGTTCTTGATTGGCGTGATTGGAGACAAGGGACTGGCGCTTTGCTGAACAAGGAGATGAGAGAATGGCAAGGACCAGCCTTGTTAGTATACAACGATGCCGTGTTCAATGAAAACGACTTCCGTAACATCATGAAGCTTGGTGGTGCAACCAAGAAGGACGATCCTGGCAAGATCGGCCGATTCGGCCTGGGTTTCAGCTCTGTATATCATTTGACCGATCTTCCTAGCTTTGTTAGTGGCAACTACATAGTTTTCTTTGACCCGCACACAAAGTATCTCGGCCCTCACCGTGTCAGCAAAGACTCGCCAGCAATAAAGATCAACTTTGTGCGCAATCGCAAAGGCCTGGAACCGTTCTCTGAACAGTTCAAGCCCTATCACAACATCTTTGGTTGCAACATGAACGACGCGTACGAAGGCACACTGTTCCGTCTGCCACTGCGCAGTCCGAACACGGCAAGCAAAATCTGCATCGATCCTGTGAACATCCGGGACGTGTTCAAGAAGTGCTGGAGCAAGCTCTCTGACATGATGCTATACTTGCAGTGCGTGCGACAGATAGAGGTCTATGAGATCCGCTCAGAGGACTGTAAGCCAACGCTTCTCTTTGCTGGTCAGTCTAACATATGCAGTGACGACAGGAAAGAGGCAGAATGGGCTAAGCAGGGTCTCCGCAGGCTACATGAACTGCACAGTGACAGTCTTCACGAGTACATTGCCGCTCAACATCCGACCAAATCAGGATGGTACACTGGACGGATACGAGTGAGCTCATCAATGACACCGGATGGGCTGAAATGCTTCAACATGTCTGCTTCTCATGGCTCGGCAGCAGCACAGGACTGGTTGCTCTGTGCAGGACTTGGCACAGCAGAATCAAAGGTAAGCCTAACTTGACTAGTCGCCACACAGCCTGTACCATCGTGTATGCTGGCATACACATACCGCATAGTCCCTGATTCAGTACCGTGTCTTCTTCCAGATTATGTGCACTATGCCAGCAATTTAGCAAGAGAATGAGAAAAGAAAAAATTGGAACATCACTTCTTGGAGGCAAAATGCACCAACCCACAGCGAAAGTTTATTAGAGTGGAGTGCCGATTATCCGCACCCCTCGGGCGCGGGCCGTCTCCAGGGGGTTGTGGATGAGAAGCATGTTCGGATAAGGGAGCAGTCACACATCGATCTAAAACTATCGCTATACATTTTGACATTTTGACTCCAACCTGTTGTAATACATCTTGTGCCTCGCTTCAATGGTGCTCTGAGTGGCGAAAATCAGCAAAAATCTCGAAAAACCAGCCTGATCAGGCGATCCGGATAATTGGTCATCCGGATAATTGACGTCTGGATAATCATTCTACTGTATATTTAAAAAAAATGGTTCACCCCAAGATTTCCGCATCCGTAGGAACACCCCCCCCCCCCCCTCCCTTCCCCCAGGATCAAGGAGCAGATGCAGCTCCTTTCAGTATAAGGAACCCAGGACATAACATAATTTCTCTTCGCATCCGGTATACCTTTTCTAGGAACATGCATACCCATGTTATTACTAGTAAACCTCAGACATAGAGGACCTCGCCTATAAAGTACAGATTTCTGATTGTTTCTTTTGTCCCTGGAGGTATGTAATACTGGAGTTTTACTGTGAAATGAGAGTTTGGGATACAAGCCGTAACAGCAATTCCAGGCCATTTTTCTAAGCTCCGAATCCTGGCCACTTTTCTAAACACAAACTCCTGGCAATCCTACTAAACACCAATTCCTGCCCAGCTTACTAAAAGGCAAATGATGTAGAAGAAGTTGGCAGCTCATGCCTTGTCCAAGTGCTGGCTGACCAGTACTTCACTGACTGATGGTTGGCATCTGGAGCCCGTGAAAAGTATGTCACTGAGATCCAGCTTCAACTGGGAGCTGCAGGAAAGCACCACTACCTGCTTGCTGTATGATATGTAGTCCTGGTGCAACACACCCAGTGGGCAGGCAGATTTACCTGTGCCTATGGTGAAGTAAAATAAAGCTTAACAAACAATGCACCAAGCGCATGAGCAACACCATAATCGTCCATAAGGTCTCGAATCATTCCCCCCTCCACCCCCTCGCAATCATGAGTTTAGATACTGTAAAAGCCATTACTCTAACGAGGCGCATATATAACGATTTTCCAAAATTGACTAGTTTACGTGTACCAAAGGTAACGATTCTCACTCATTCTCAACGCTCAATAGGACAGTATATGTATCGATTTCTGTATAACGATTTCTATTTTAACGACAGATTTCTCCTCGTTAACTCGTTAGAGTTAGCACTTCGTTCTATATATAATTATGGCTTTTACAGTAGTGGTTTATGTGCGTACCCCGTAACTGCAGTATCGTGTGCATGTGTTTGGTCCATCATGACTGTATGAGTGTTTCTTGCTGAAGGGTATGAATGGATGCCATGCTAATCCTGCTTCTTAATTTGTTTTTCGGTTTTGCTGAAGGACTTGGCCGTGAAAGAAGGCAGAAAAGATAGTCTGGTGCCATGGGGTGGCTGTGCAATCAAGTGGAATGCTGTCAATGATATTGCCGAACCTGATCTTGCAGGGATTGCTTACTCGTTCTTGCCACTGCCAATTGCCACCGGACTGCCGTTCCATCTGAACGCTTGCCTTTCTGTGGCGAAAGACCGCCGGAGCCTGGAGCATACGAGTGATGGCAGCTTGAAGACACGGTGGAACGAAGCTGTCCTGTCTGATGTCATTACACATGCATATCTACACCTGCTGGAGAGCATTGCAAGTCACTCTACGCAAGCGCAACCAGAGCAGCGCAGTGCATACGGACAGTTGTTTCCCGCCACCGATGGATCCTCCATATTCTCGTATCGGGCGCTTATCGTTGCCCGCTTCTACAACATGATATTGCGCAATGGCAGCTTTGCAGTTTTCTGGTGTCCAGCACGGGGACAGTGGATGACGGGAAAGGAATCACTGTTCCTGGTCGACTACGACAGGTTTGGTGACTGCTATGACCATGCCGTGGAGTTACTTGCCGGTCTCGATGTAGCAGTTGTCGAGCAGCCGGTGTATGTACGTCAGGAGCTGAAGAAAATGTGCTCGCTGGTTGACAGCGACTACTCAGCAGCAGTGCAATCCATTGACTTTCAGACGTTCTACACTCGTTACTTCTTTCCTCAGTGTGAGCGCATACCGCACGACAGTCATGCACAATTCCTCAAACTTCTTCTTGCTCAAGAGGAAGAGCACTGGAGTAGAGGGCTGCTCAAATATGAGAAGTGCATTCGCTCAAGCTCAGGTCGTATGGTGAGATGCAGCCAGCTTGTTGACCGAGAATCAGATTTGGCCGAGCTGTACACAGATGATGATGGGAAGTTCGCTGCAAAGCACTATGACTTTGCACCAGGGCATCTTCTTGTCCTTCGGCAATGTGGCATGATTCACGAGAAGCTGCCCAATGAGGAGATCATTGGCCGGGCAAAGTCAGTTTTGGATGTAAGTCGTGACTGTGGAAAGGCACGAGCGCATCTGTTGCTGGTATTGCTATCAAGACCAGGATATATTGGGCAAACCAGCACAATTAAATCTGAACTGCAACACATTGAGTTCCTGCCGGTGGCGCCGAAACCTGACACCTACCACATGTCTTGGGCTGGTGATGGTCAATCATTCGTCAGTGCCGCGGAGTCACAGACTGTGGAGTTCAAACACCTGGCAGGATCAGTCCAACCATTGGCTGATCTAAGTGTAGGTAAACGGCAGCCTTCACGCCTGGCCAAATGTTTGGGCTACTCCACACCTACACTGAATACAGTCCTCGAACAGCTGGACATAATGTTGTCAGAGAACAAAGAACTCCAGGAGAATATTGATGACGAGGAAGCTGTCTTGCAATGCTTGCAGAGAAGACCAACCGCAGTGCACCAAGACAAGCCGCTGCTGAGGTTTCTCCGTGAGGCCTCGTCTGACATCTTTAAATACCTGGATACAGCAGTGTGCGGATCAGAAGCGGCACATCCCATCGACGCCACCACCGAGGAAGAACTGATAACATTCTTATCGTCAAAAATATGGTTTTGGCATGGCAATCGGTTTGTCTCGATTGAGACACTGAGCACAGGTGATTCTCCACTGAGCGGCTATCCTCCGTTCTTCAACTCCAGTGACAACTACAACAAGTACCCGAATCTCTGGAAACTGCTTCGTATCGCGGATACGTACAATCCCGCATATGTACGGAGGGTCATGTGCATAATCTACAGTGTGTACAAAGCAAGGACATCTACTGGTGAGGAGTATGACAGGATCTGTAAGCTACTCCGCGAGTTAGCCGAGCAGCTAGTAAAACCAGGCCCACTGGCCGAGGATGCGCGGCGCAGCGTTGTCCTGCCAGGCGCGGATGGGTGCCTGCACTACTTGAACCAGCTGACGTTTGACAACACACCCTGGCTAAACAGCGCGGAGAAACGGTCGACGGCTGATGGATCGGCCCTTGTTTTTGCGCATGGTGATATTCCATGGCACCTGGCAAAACGGCTGGGCATGGAACATGCCTCACACAGGCTAGTCGAGTCCGCAGGCATGGATTTTGGTCAGCAGGAAAGGCTGTGCGATCGACTTGCCGGCATACTGGAGAAGTACCCAGCAGACATTAGCATTTTCAAGGAGCTGATACAGAATGCTGATGACGCAGGCGCAACTGCCATGCACTTCATTCTGGACACGCGTGTTGACTATCCAGATGAGAGGCTCTTGAACCCAAACACAGAGTCATGGAAACAACTTCAGCACTGCCCATCACTCTGTGTGTATAACAACCGGTCCTTCACGGACAAGGACATTGAAGGCATTGCCAAACTTGGAAGTGGCAGCAAACGGGATGACCCAAAATCGACAGGAAGATTTGGAATAGGGTTTAATGCAGTGTACCATCTGACTGACTGCCCCAGCTTCTTGTCTCGTGGAGCCAATGGAACAAACCTTTGTTTCTTTGATCCACTGCTCAACTTCGAACCTCATGCTACAGACGCCCAACCCGGCCGACGCTTCAAGCAGACAACAGAAAATGAGGCACAGTTCTGTGATCAGTGGGAGCCGTACCTGGGCACGATTCTCAACAATACAATGGCAAGTGACGGCGAGTCCACAGTATTCCGTCTTCCATTGCGAGGAAGCTACAGGACCGAAGCCAAGATTGGCAGGGATCCGAAAAGTTGGACAACATCCAACGTTGAGGCTTTGTTCCACGAGCTGTGTGAGCATGGAATTGAACTGCTGTTGTTCTTGAAGAATGTCGCCTCCATTCGAGTGTCAGTGCACACCAAGGCTGACGGCCTAGACACGTGGTACAGGATCAGCAGAGAGCGCGTCACCGAGGAAACCAGCATCCCTCGGGGTGTGCCTGAGAAAGCCATGTCTATCCACTATGTGCAAGACACCTGCCTAAAAAAACAAGATGGAAATGAGAGCAGAGAAAGGTGGCTGATGATGAATTGTTCAGGCGTGGATCGTATGCACCATTCCCCAGCAGCAGCAGGAGCCCTTAGCCTGGATGAAGCCATCACAGAAGGTCATCGCCATGGACTATCACCAGAAGCAGGTGTGGCCGCTAGGTTGCCTATGCTGGCATCGCCAACCAACCGCATCGAATGTGCCACTGGCAAAGTGTTCACAACACTTCCAACACAGCTGGAAACTGGCTTCCCCGTTCACGTCAATGGAAACTTTCTTCTGGATGACTCGCGCAAGCACCTGGACACGGTCAAGTCTGGTGCTGGGGGGATTCGTGCTTGGTGGAATGAATGGCTATTGCACAATGTGGCGTTACCTGCCTATCTCCAGCTACTTTCAGAAGCTCGTCAATTCGTCACCTCGTGTGATAATCCACGCGGTGCAACTGGAGACGCAAGAGCAAGTGGCCCGTTAGTAGTAACACCATTATGTGCCCCTGCCGGACACCGGGGAGAAGTCTTCACAGCTGCACCTCGCCCAACCATGGCGCCGGCGTCCCTGGACTGGTACTACTCTCTGTTCCCGCGTGATGACAGTACGACAGGGGACATGACATTGTGGAAGCTGCTCTGTAATCGCCTGTATGAGGAGCTCGCTAAGCCAGCGTGGAGAGTTTTGGCCAGTCACCATGCCAACCCAGCCGTATGGGAACCGTGGAGACCCTGTACCGGACCGGAGTTAGGCGTGTTTCATCGTCAGATGCATAGAGAAGAAACAACGCTATTCCTACTTGTTGTTGGTATTGGTGTTCCCTTGACACAAGCACCATACTGGCTGTTGACGGAGCTCAATGTGGACTCACTGAGCAACTCCACCGACATGACAAGTCAGCAACCTCATGCATTGGCATTCCAAGCAGCATACACTGTTGGCAATGGAAGCTCACGGAAGACACCGAAAGCTGTTGGCACTGCGATATCACCAGCATACCTGCGTGAGTTTCTCCGCATTCAATGCTCTGGGAAGTTGGTTGCTGAGCAGTCACTTGGCGTCAACAAAGCAAATCTCGAGAATGTTGCCAAACTTCTGAACTATTGTTTGGATCTGTACTCCCAAATGCCTTTGGTACATGAGATTGATAGACTAGCAACGGGTCTTCCGCTTCTTTTGACGCAGTCCAACAAGCTGAACATATTTGGTGCAGCTGGCCCTGCAGTGTTGACCAAGTTTCCTTCTCTGATTGCTGACCGTCTGGACACTGTAGTCAATGTACACCTGATCCAGAAGTGCCCAGTCCTACGGGAGCTGCTGTCCTTAGAAGGATCTAGTTGTGCAAGACCGCTATCTCTGGGTGATATTGCCAGCAGCGTCCGAACACTGCACCCATGCCTGTTGCAAGCAGCACCGGTGCAGCACCTGGTGGAACATGACAGCCTGACAACCTGGCTCGCAGATCTGTGGGCGTTTATTGTCACAGAACACTTGAGATCGACATGGCACACTCTACGAGCGTCTGCTCTCCATGCTGTCAGCTTCATTCCAGTAACAAGCATCCAGAACGGCCAGCACATTGGGCTGTTGGTCTCACCTGAGAAGGCTGGCCGCATCATTCGGTGCAGCGACAGAAGTGACCGTGGTTCACCTGGACAATTGCTCACAGGCCTTGCCAAGCTTGGCATGTACTTGCCAGCATTCAGCAGCCTACTAGAGGACGCTAGTAAGATAAACAAATGCTATAACATCACTGCAGATGGCTGTACTCCAAAAGATGACTATGTCGAATTGATAAGTCAACTTGAGCAGGTTAGTTTCTCTAGTGTTCCCAATACACTGACCTTGCTTGAAGCAAAGGCGGTGTTGACGAACTTCGTTGGCCTGAGCCGGAACTCCAGGAATTTGTCACACTCACAGCGCCAGCTTCTCTGCCGTCTTCCAATCTATCCTGCAGTTGGTAACAAGGCTATTTCACTTGCCGGAATGGAAGGCTTTTTTCAGATGGACGATAGATTTCCCAGAGCAGGATGTGATATGTGGTGGCAAGCTCTAGATAAGTCTGTAGTGGTGCTTGAGAAGCTCGACCCAGACGTCGAGTCGTTCCTGACGGAGCGCCTCACTCTACGCAAGATAGATGAAGTGGAGGTACTAGTCAAGCTGATCATACCAGCGCTGATGCGAATGACTGAAGACGATCGTATCGAGCATGTGCGACACATTCGAGATAAGGTCCTACCTATCCAAGAAGCTTCTGAAAAGACTACAATTGTGGAACGACTGAAACCAGTTCCATTTGTGACTGCAGAAGATGGTCAGCAGAGACTTGCCAGTGAACTCTTCAAACATGGCAGAGTGTTTGATCTATTTGTCGATCCACTGTTCTTTGCGAGTGAATTCTGGCATGGTCATGAGTGGCACAGTGGTCATGAACCGCTCCTTAAAAAGCTCGGCTTCACTGCAACTATTGGCAAGACACAGTTCATTGAACTCGCCAAGAGTGTCGAGTCGACCTGGTTTGTTGGGTCGCCAGCTCACGGTTTGAAGAAATTGTCAAAGAAGGAGAGTGTTACAGCTGCTGAAGAACTCATCGGACCGTTCAATAAGCTCAGTAGCCCAGCGGACGTCGGTGATATCAAGTTTGTGTTTCCAGTGACGCGGCAGCACTTCCTACCGAAGCTTCTCGGCGACTCTGGTGGTCGGCAGCTGGCACATCTGTGTGACGGGAGCCGCCCAGTCTCACTGAGGGCATCAGTGCCACACAAGTGGTACGACATTGTCTGGACTGTGCAGCCAGTCTGCAGTGAGCTGTTCAGGCTTGACAGCGGTGTGTGCAAGCAGCTGGGAATGAACCATGAGCCAGACCTGGATGTGGTGCTGGCACATTTCTGCAACCTGATGCAGGCACTCACAGCTAGAACATGCACTCTCAGTCGTATGGCCGATGGCTGTGACGAGGATCGAGAACGCCTCAAGAACATTATCAAGCAACTGTATACATACCTAAATGCCAAGTGTCAACAGGCGGATGGGAACGTGGTTCGCATCCGGAACGCCTTGCATGACAAGCCATGTATACTTGTGGATGATAGTAAGTTGCTCTTGCCACCTGGACAAGTCACTGAAGCCAGTCTACAAGAGGATTCTACGCACACTGAGCCATACCTCTCCACGCTACCCAGTGACTTTCTCGGCAGTTTTCCACATTTGATGTCCAAGAAGTGTCTCGACATCTCAGACCATCTCACAGCAGGGCAATGTGTACAAGCTTTGCAATTGATCAAGCATGAACACGAGATTGAGAAGAGCACGTTCGACATGAATAAGGATCCTAAAGTCTATCACCTCATTCAGTATTTCTTCAAGAAGCTCTTCAGTTGCTCGCCAAGTCACGAGATACTTCTGAGACCAATAGCTATTGGCATCAAGGCAACACCTGATGGACCTGAGCGTGCTGGTGAAATATTCTTGCCATCATGTACTGCTGAAGAAGGCAGGGAGAACTGCAGTACTGTCAGTTTTGTCAAGGCATCAGAGATCGTGATGAACAACTGGCAATACTACTTTCTGAGAATGTCTGCTTCCAACGAGCTTCAGTTCTTGCCGACATTTGATCTGAAAATGGAAAGCCCACAAGCCCGAATGGCAAAATCCTTCGGTGTACAGTTGCTGTCTGAGGTGGCGTCCGAGGAGTTTGATGATACCGAGGTCGAATGCGATGCCAACCGAATCTTTGAGTTCATGACTTTCGAATATGCACTAGGATCAAAACCTGAGGAGTTACACGGTGTCCTATGGAATATGTTGCACATGTTGAGGTCATCTGAATTCAGCAGTGGCATCAGGCGCCTTCTGAAACACGCTGAGAAGGATCCGAACAGCTGCAATAGCAACTTGGAACGGCTTCGGAGTGCTCGGATTGTTGTTGTGCGCATGATCCAGACTTTTCTCAAGTACAATGGAAAGACTATTGTGGGCAGTGAAGAAGACCAACCGTGTCACTACAAACTTAATCCCCGTCTTACAATCTTCATCCGCAACGAGACGGCGCAAAGCGGTGCTGCGCAGGATTCGTTCATGACCGGCCTGGCCATGACGATCAGGAACATAGTGTGTGGCAAGGAGAACCTTTTGTCACTCGAGTGTCTTAGAAAAATGCTTTACTGCGATGAGCCGAGCAAGATTGACACCACCTTGACAAAGGCGCGGATAGCTGAGTATCACGATGATGAGGCAACGAAACGCATTGACTATTCCCAGCCACCTCTTGGCGAAGAGGTTCCGACTGACCGTGGTTTGTTTGATCCGTCTGAGAATCCAGAAGAGCTGTACTTTGGAAAATCTGAGCTGGTGATCTTCCACAATGATCAGGAAGATGTTTATGTACTTGCGAAAATCATCAGAGAGACAACTCCAACCGGCAATAGGAACCGCCTAACAAGATCATTCCTGATTGATATTGGTGTGGACGACGAGATTGCAGTCAGTGTGAATGACTTGTATCGCTTTAAGACGCCACTGGATCGACAGTCCGCCGAAGCAGTGGCTCAGGAACTGCCTGTGGCGATATTCACCGGGACGCCATCAGCACACAGTGGGAGGACTGCTGGAGTTACCGACGATGCAAGCCAGGGCAGTGAAATGACTATGGACGAGGCACGGGCAAAGATCAAAGAAGAGCTGCGTGCGGTGTTTTCCGTCAAAGATGAAAACGAGAGAAAGAAGGTTTTCCGTCGCATGCAGATGAGGTGGCATCCTGACAAGCATCCAGGACAGGAACCTGTGTACACCAAGGCGTTCCAATACTTGATGAATCTTTACGAGCACGTGTCCAAAGGTGGATCTATTGACAGCTTTGATGATGATACGTCCAGTGGTAGGTCTAGTGACAGTCGAGACTGGGCACAGGACTACTCTGATCTGTACAGTCGCTTCCGGAGAGGCCGGCGTCGGCCCTCGTACCGTCAATCGTCGTCTTCACGTGACAAGTGGCGACGCAACCGGAGTGGTGACTATCATCAATTCTTCAACACATCTAGATCAGAAAGATCTCACAGGTCTGCAAGTGAAAGTTCTGACACAGGGAGCAGGTAATCTATGGAACTATTGTTTCATTAGGGTATGTGTGTGTGGGGGTGGGGGGGGGGGGGGAGGGGGTGGTTAAGGAAATTTTAAATATGCCATTGTGCAATGACATAATTTGCACTGTAAACACCGGCACACAGCCACCTGGGCATGGTTGTGTGGAGTGTTGAAAAGTGCATTCTGACCGAGCACACCTGGGCATGGTTGTGTACCGGTGTTGAAAAATGCATTCTGACCGAGCACTGGCCGTAACTAGGAATCTCCAGTAACTCAGAACTCACATACTTCCTGAATGCCAGGAAACATTTGTAAATGAGCCGAGCCAAGATAAAAGGTGGCTAAGGCATAATTTTTGGAAATTTCTTTTTTCATGCCAAAGTGATGTATACCTATCCAACTTCCATCAAGGAAATTTTGGTGCCCATCTGAAATGTATGTCCATAAATAAGCATACATTGTGCACATGTCACAGAATGGCTGGTATCAATGACACTAAGGATTCCAAGACCTTCCTAAACTCCAAGAAAACGTGGGACACCAAGTAGAGACAAAGCTCAGCAGGTGTGCAAGCAATACAAGAAGAATGGGCACTTGTGTTCTAATTATAAGATCCAAGAAAGAAGAAATAACAGATCTACATTAAATTTTCATCATGTCTCATGTCATTTTATCACGCAAAATACGAATTTTCATATCATTCATCATGATGTTGTGACTATATGTTTCGCTGCGTTGGGGAACGTCGCATCTTACCAAGACAGTCCGTAATACTCTCTCCAATCACCTATGCCAGGATGAATTAATCCTTTCATCTAGCTCCATTGGTGTACTGCCCTCGCACCTACATATACATGTAGGTCCAGTAGACTGCACATCGCTAACAAGCGGCACTAGTTCTTTGTCCGTCCTAGTCCATGTCATTCTCCTTCCCTGCCAAGGATACTGGTAGAAGGCGCCACGGGACAATATGCCAGCAGGTAGAGTCAATGCATCGCTTCGTCGTGTGGCACTATTTCCTTGAAACGAGGAAATTTTGGAATCCAGTACGCCACGTCATGAATACTAAATTGAAGGTAGCCGAAACAAAGTGAAACATCGCAGCAAGAGCCAACTCACCAGGCCGCTTGTCAGAATAATAGTCAGAAGGCTTGTAGACGTCTCCCCATAGCTACACTCGCCGCTCTAGTCGTGGCTACGATAAGAAACACAGCCACTATGAATGAGCGACTCTTCCTCGTCAAGTAGGTTTTGGCGCACACGGATACAGAATGTCATCCTGCTCACCTCCACATTCTCTAGAAGCCCCATTACGATCTCTGGCAGCGCTGAGGAATCCCCACAACGATGAAAGAGGGAACACTGAAGAAGTGTTGCTCAAACATAAAAAGGCTGCTCTCTTCATCCGGTTGCAAACTGGAAAGTGAATATTTTCGCGATCGCGCTCGAGTACACAAGTAGAATTTTGCCAACTGTGACGTTTTGGTGATTTTCTCGATTTGTTGGCAAAACACGAAGCCACTTTTTAGCTTGGCGCGGCTCAAATGTCAATCAATAACGTTTGGCCCAAGTTGGGGCCGTTTTTTCCGTTGAAATGCCAATCTTTGTGACTCTAGATGGGTCAGAAAGTTGCCCGTTAGACGGCGGTACCCGGATTAGGGATATCCGGATCTGGGTTTTTTTATTGTACCCTTACAGCTTTTCCTGCAATGGTGGTGCTGGTATTGGTGGGGGCATTGATGGGGGGGGGGGGGGAGAGGGGAGTGGGTGCAGGAGTTCTGGTGGCGACAATGGCAGCGGTGATGGAGAAGGGGGATGGGTGCGGGTGGCGCTGGTGCTGCTTGTGCTGCTGTGGATGGCTTAAGGTGTGGGATTCTGCCACTGTCGGTGTTGGTGTTTGTGGCCTTTGTGGTTTGTGTGATGTTTGTGGTGCTAGTAGCGGTTACAGTGCTTTTGGTGGTAACTACTTTGAAGTACTACTTCAAGTGTCATGCTGTAGATACAATGCCTTTTCTGTTGCTTGTCATGACAGTGCTGCTACTTCAGAACTGTGTCGGTTAAACCGCCGCTTACTTTGTTACTTGTGCTGTTGTTTTGGTGTATTGTGACGTTACAGGGCGGATGCTGAGCGCTTTCTTGCACAGGCTCGCTCAGACCTGAGTATTGTGCGAGAGCAGGTCCGGTGTGCGCTGGACAAGAACAACGCGCTCGCCTGCTTTCTGGCTCAGCAGGCCGTGGAGAAGGCGCTGAAGGCCGCCCTGTGCAGCTCGGACCAGGGGCTGACCGAGGCCAACCGCAGCAGCAATGACGTTGTCACCCTTGCCTTGCACCTCCGCTGCACAGCTTGTGAAAACGTGCTCGAGCTTGCTCAGGTTGTTTCGCACTACTATACGGCGACTCGCTATCCAACTCGGAGCTCAGCGCATTCCAAATTACCTTTTGAGAGCTATTCTGTCGACGATGCGCACAAAGCGTTAGAAGCTGCAGTGCAGATAATCGACATTACTGACAGGTTTGTGCGATAATACACCCCCCCCCCCCCATAGTCTAATGTTTTGTGGATGATTAAATGGTATTAGCTACGTATGACACTAGCCAGTGATGTCACTGTGTATACAGTACTCATGTGATTAGAGCCCTATCCTGTATAGTGCTCCACTCCAGTCTCTAAGAGCCAGTGAAAAATAAAGCTCTCTCTCTTGAATAGTGCCCCCCCCCCCGAGCTCGTAACCAAGCGCATGTGCAAGTTTGGTGTTCCTTTGCTAATAGTCTTGTCCATGTCATTGCACTGGCGGTTTCGGGATCAGATCATAGGTTCTTGTTGCCGTTTCTGTTGCGTTGTGATAGTTTACAATAAACGCACATTTACCAGCATAGAAAAAGTAGTGCCTTCTTGAATAGTGCCCATCTGTGATGGACATCGAAAAAATAGTGCCCCAGAATCGCGCGAGTACGGTATGTGTGTGGGTGTTTGTGTGTGTGTGTTTGTGTGTGTGTGTTTGTGTGTGTGTGTGTTTGTGTGTGTGTGTTTGTGTGTGTGTGTGTGTATGTGTGTGTTTGCGTGTGCGCACGCGTGTGTGTGAGTGTGTGCGTGTGTGCGTGTGTGGGTATGTGCGTTTTTTGTATGTGATTTAGGTTTTGCAAGTCGCGTCAGAGTGGTGCATCAGCTGAGAGCCAGTCGAATACGGAGACGGATGGCTTCCACAGCACACAGGTAATATCAGGGACACCCGCCATGAAATAAACTGGACCTTGCCAAGGGGAATTGCCTGGCTAAACTGCTGAATTTCAATGGACATGAAAATGGTTGATCCTGAAATCACCATTTCTGTGGATGGTGGTCCCCGTCTTGCACTGCAGTTCTACGGTACTGGCCGGAGAAATCTAACCTCATGAATAAAAGCGGCTTCGGGCGACACACAGCCCTAGCACTACACTTATGGCTCTGTGTACTCAAACGTGGCACTGCTATAAATTATATTCATGAAGTTGAAGTTCTGAGTGGGTCTTATCAAGAGAACAGTGTGCCATTCCGGTCTATGGGATACAACACCATTTCCACCCCCCCCCCCCCCCCGCACTCGGCATTGATTTTCCTGCGTTATCCCAGGTACCAGATGCAAGTACATACCCCTGACTCGCATGTATGCAATCTCGCTGCCCGCATACATGTATGAACCATCATCCACCTGTGGATCCACATCAGGGAGTACTTAAAATACGCGTTTTTAGTACTTCCTCATCCACACTGCCTACTGTCTATGACTATGTACAGGGCTTGCAGTCACCTGTTACCATGGTTACCCCTCATCCACTGTTGCAAATGTCGGTTAGTTTTCTTCGTTACTGGAAATAAGGGAATCTTGTAAAATCTGGAAGCTTTCGCAATTTCCACGATGGGTGTGAACACGCAAAAGCAACTGAGCCGGCGTGAATCATGTAACTGTGGTACGGCTGAAAGCAAACAACATGACTTTGTAGAAACCTGGTTTTGTGTGAGGATACCCAACCTGTATAGAACTACATGATTGTACTAAGTTTTGTAACGAGTCGTATTATGTATGAAAGAGTTCAACGGGTGAAGCGCGCACATCCAAGCAAGAACATGTGTAGAACGCACAAAACGCACGAAATCATAGTTTTCTCCGAAACCATAATGCTTGTATGCTGAACAAGGCCCGCTTGTTGCATGCAGTTACAATACTCCCCACCACCCACCATTGGCTATTTCTTGTGTGCCATAGTATTCGGAATAGGACTGCAACAGGATATTCTTTATGGCTGAGGAAATTGGAATCCCCGGTTGAATCTAAACGAATGAAAGTCCTCTCGTGAAGAACATTCTAGGACCGTTGAGAATTATGACTAGTAGTGCATGCAGTTCACAGCGCTTGTCATGGCATATTTATGAGTGTCATGTTATTATGATGCAGGACAATACCATATTCCCGCAGAACATGTATAAGTCTCGCTGGAGTTAGGTGTGCAGTATATGCTGCACCCAGATATTTTTTCACAAAATACAAACATCGACTCAGTTTATTTGACCATCGTAATATAAGCCGCAGCGACGATTTTGGGGAATTATGAGTGTTTAAACTTTAAAGTGTGGCTTTTGCTCCGGGAAAATGTGGTGATCTGTGCCTGAATAATCTACGTGCTACTTTTGAAAGCAACTCTGGAGAAGCATTGCTATTTCACTTTGCGTTACCATTCTCATCGTTTCATGCTCTTTGACGTGCATTTCCTCCTTTCCAATTTCCCAGAGTGTATCGTAGATCTTGAGACTAAGCATGTTCAGAAATCTGGTATCCAACTTTCCTAAAGCACATAACCTTCCTTCGCCTGGATTTGGAAATGAAAAGTAACAGAACCGTTGTTGAAGCCCTAGGGCTAGGACGTTCAGCCATTCGCGGGGTGCTGGAGTAGAGGAGGGCTGTGTAGAAAAATGAAGAGATCACCCCCGCATACCCATTGCGCGAAATCACGCGATACCTGTACATTTTCGATCTGCGGGATGAAGATGACGACGTCCATGCATCAGGTATCTGGGGGTAGTAAGATACTGGTATATTACTACTCCACGCCTCAAATCGTGCTGTCAAGCGTATGCGGAGGAGTGTAGCATGCCATCCCTTACACTTTCCAGCTCAGGGTTACCCTCGCTACCAATGGACGAAATTTCAGGGTCACAGCTTGCGCAACGGCTTTGTCCTGTTCGAATGGCCACTCGACATACTCAGCACAAATTTTCTATTGCATGCATGCACAAAATGTTCAACTTTCGTATTATTGGCGACTTTACCACCGTTGTGGAGGCTGGTTGGTGAGGAGCAGGTAGCCATCCTTGTGGAATCAAACACATGGTTCCACAGTGTGGCTGATTCCGCAAGAGCCAGGTCCATACGAGGAACATTCGCTTTGTCTTTTGCCATCGAAGTCGACCCTTGAAGCGGCATGGCTTGACCCTCACCAAGGGTGAGTTCCGCGACGGAATCCACTTGCGCTACGGCTGGCTTCCACAGCGACTGCCATCATCTTGCAGCTGTGGAGCCACATTTTCAGTCGCTCACGCTTTGTCTTGCCCCACAGGGGGGTTTCCGTCGGTGCGGCACAATGAGGTGCGTGACCTCACTGCCCATATGCTGAAGCGAGTGGCTCACAATGTCTCCGTGGAGCCCCACCTGCAGCCGGTCACTGGGGAGCAGTTCCGGTATCGCACCGCTATCCAGACTGAGCAGGCCCGTCTCGACGTTGCGGCAAGTGGCATCTGGGGTGGCCGGTTTGAGCGCACCTTCATCGATGTGAGGGTTTTCAATCCTCATGCGACCCGCTCAAACCGCGCCACCTCCATTGCTTCCTGCTACACCAAGCACGAGAAGGAGAAGCGGCGCTGCTACGAGCAACGTGTCCGCGACATAGAGCATTCGTCGTTTGTTCCGGCCATATTCTCTACCACTGGTGGTTTGGGCAAACACGCGGAGTCGCTCTACAAGCGGATAGCTTCTCTTCAAGCCGCGAAGACTGGAGAAGCATACAGCTGTGTTATGTCTTGGGTTCGATGCAAATTGAGTTTTGCCCTACTCCGGTCCAGCGTGATGTGTTTGCGCGGATCCCGGAATCTTCGGCCGGTGCAGTTGGACTCACCTCCCACCTTGGCGGTTGCTGAGGCGGGCATTCGCATTTGATACCATTTGCCTCTGGTTTTGTCTGTATTTGCTTCGTCTCACGGTGCTCTTTTCATCCTACTACTAGTAGTTTTCAGCCCGCTATCGGGCGGCTGCACTCCAGCTCTGCTTTGCACTTCTCTTAACTTCTTTTTCCTTTGACTTGATCATTGGTATTACATATAATTATCATGCTCTAAAGAGCCGCGTAAAAATCAAAAAAAAAAAAAAAAAAAAAAAAAAGTAAGTCACTTTCCTTGTTCTCAGTGTTTTTTACGTTCAACGTTTCTGAGATTTTTGAATTATTCACTTTTCATTCTTTCATAGTTTATTTCTTCATGTTCACTGCCTCACTTGCCTTCTGATCTGGAGAATGTGATGGAGGTGACTGTTGATTACTGCCTGGTATAACGGTTGTCGTGCTGTTGCTGTATTTCCGTCCTGCTCGCGACGTTGTAGATCACAAACAATTTGAAATCACATGAATTGTACTTACCGTCGTGCGTGCGGTATTAGGAAACACTGTGCAGATTAGATCGTCGCAATGTATCTATATGTGTGTCTGGTCATCCTGTGCCACGCAAGATCTCCAACCAGACGCATTCGTCCTCGGCCCTGTTGATCGATTGTCCACTCGTCTTTCCTTGAAGAACAATCGATTAAAAAAAATCGAGCTCGAGGACTTTTTGCAAAAAAACGGCTGAAAAAAGGAAGAAAAAAGGGTGCTCAGAATGAGATTCGAGTACACAATCATGGTCCCAGCAGTTTATGTGGATGTCGCTCATAGATGCGCGATTTCGCGCAATGGGTATATTCTAGAATGACTGTACGACTGTTGATCTCTTCATGTAACTGTTGATCTCTTCATGTAACCGAACCATTGTTGAAGCCCTATGAATGCATGACTGTTGATCTCTTCACTTTTCTACACAGACCTCCTCTGCTACAGCATCCCCGCGAATGGCTGAACGTCGCACTAGCAGCAGAATCAACCACAAACGACAGCACTGCCTCAATGCTGACACACCCTCCAGGTGCGCTGCCACAAGGCACACTTTGCATTAGGCCTTATTTGGTGCATGGCTCACGTAAAGTTTGTCGAAAGAGCTGGCCAGAGGAAACTGTGTTGAACTCGCAAATGCAGCTGCAAGAAACCTCACTTTGCTAGTGGTGTGGATAGGGCAGTTTCCTCTCACAAACCTAGCTTGATCTGCCTCAATCGGACCCTGTCCGCTATGCTGCTATGGGAGGTTATCAAGTGGGTGGATATGTACAGCTGGTGCAATTGCCGATCTGCAAAATGGTCTCCGGTAATGGGGTGCACTGCTATATGCTACTATACACTACTATACACTGCTATACACTGCTATACACTACTATACACTACTATACACTACTATACACTGCTATACACTGCTATACACTGCTAGGTCATGCAAGGATACAGTACTGTTGCGAGTGTTGGTCGCCGAAGAACTGGGGGGGGGGGGGGGGGTCGACTCCAAGCCTAGACCGTCCTTTTTTCATGTATAGCAGTCTATGCCCAGTTGAGTCCCCGTCCGTGCATACATTGGTATGCTGTGCTTGATGAAATTCTAGCCTGGTCGTTTTTCGGCACTCCATACTTCGGCGCCCGACAGTACTGTGGACTATATCATTGTGAGGGTGTCCATATTTCAACCGGCCCGTGCCATTGCCGATCACTCTGATCGTAACACTTGCTTTGCTGTGTGACTTGCTCTGGAATGTGCTATCAAGAGAGTGACAAAGTCATGACACCGAGAGTGTGCAGCTTCTGACCTTTCTGCATGGGTATCTGTTGCGGCGAAACTTCCTGGAATACATCCTATTTGGTGCAGATATGCGGCGGGAAGTACATCTGAGCTGCAGCTGTACAGAAAAAGACCTGCTTGAATACTGCTTGTGTGCACTACATTCCTAAATGAATGATGTAATCCAGGAATTTCGTGGTGACAGCACCCCTTACGATCTGCACACTCATCATGTACTCTTGACGCCATGCAATAATACCTGTGACTGATCCTTTTCTGCCTGTCTCTTGCCTTGCCCTGCCAACTCTGAAGCCCCAGCGCAAAGAGACTCAAGGAAACTTAGTGTTGATGGACAAGAGACATCGAGCTACAGGACACGAGACTCAAAGCTTCTCGCGAAACCCATGCTCCCATGAGTTCTTCACTGGGCACAGCAACCGTGATGCTGAGCACACAGCTGCGTTCGGCAGTATGGTCAAGACAAGACGCACACGCTGCCAGCATCCACTTTTGGGAATCGAGTCCAATAGTTATATTTTGCACAGGCTATCCTTACAGCATGTACTGCATGCGTACCGTGTTCCTCTATTTCAATTTTTCACCTAAGGGATGCACGTCTTGCCTCCATTCTGGCTTGTAATTCATCGATTTCATTGCATTCTATACATTGGGAAGGCTACAGTGCAAGGTCCACGCATGCATGCCCTGCTGCTTCACTGGATCTTCTTATTCATATGGCGCATCGTGCGCAGTGCACTGTCGTTCTTGGGATGAAAGACGTTAGCAATATGTACGGCTTTCGGGACTTTTTCTTCGAGTATTGACAACTTCCCGATCAGTAGTCAAGGTCTAGCTAGCTGAGATTGCTAAATGACTGCATAACCATGCACACACATTGGAATTCCAGTTCCGAAATTACTTTCCACCTTCCTACAAAATAATATGCATGTATAACTGTGTAGTTAAGACATGGTCAGTTCAATACAAATCCATTAAATTTGTTTATTTTGTATATCAATGGCAACTTATTTTTCAGTTTCTTGTGCCACAAGTATCAGTGCAATGCTTATCCACATGTACCTCAAGTTACGCATCAACAGCACTGTCATGTGGATGCAAACGTGGAAACTCCAGCCCAATTTAGACAAGACAGAAGCCATGTATATTTCTTCATCCCCTCCTGATCAACCATTATTCTTCCCTGACTCGACTATGCCTATCCGTGTTGTTACTCAGCACAAACATCTAGGTGTGATGTTTGACTGCAAACTCTCTTGGGCTGCACATGTCAACTGTGTATGCAAGCGAACCAGTTCAGCCTTAGGGGTACTACAACCACATTGCACTCATTTGCCCATCCAGTGTAAACTATTATTTTATCAGTGCTATATTCTCCCTATATTCGACTATTGCGATACCGCTTGGTGTGGCCTTTCTGACACAACTCTGAGCCAATTAGAAGTCCACCATAGATTTATACTTAAAATTCTTTACAACAAGGATCGATGTTTTCCTTCGGATGCCCTTTATCGACTTGCACACACTTCTCCTCTCTCCGTTCGTCATAAGCACCATCTCTGTACACTGGTTCATAAGATATTTCTTCATAAAACCCCTTCACACATGATGAAGTACAATTGGTTTTCGACAAGCTCAACCCGTAACGCGCTCACCCTGCCTCTTGTTAAGTCAGCCCAGTATCTAAAGTCCCCTTTGTTTTCCGGCTACTCTCATTGGTTATCATTACCATACGGTCTGAAAACTTGTTCTTCTATTGGTCAGTTTAAAGATCTACTATCACAACTGAACTAGACGCAATAATTATCATCGAAGAACATTCTCGAATACCTGGGTGATGCACGAATTTTGATAGTGCTCACTTCCGTTAATCGTTTTTCTTTGTAATTTTCCATTCATTTTCTGCTTTAATTCATATTTGCTTTGTTTTCCTAGCTTACTATTGCCGTGGCTGGCTCAACGCCCTTTTCTCAGGGGATTCTGTCCCTGCATTAGCTATGCTTGTCACATGCTATGAGATTGTGTCTAATAATAATAATAATAATAATAATAATACCCGTACATGATGGATTATAGATTTCAATTTTCTTTCACTACCAGGGTGTCGCAAACGTGAACATGTATTTTACAACTTTCCATAATTATGATCCTTTTCACAGGGCTGAGCGATGGCACAATGTCTAGTTGAAAATTGTTTGACCTTCACGCACCGACTGTTCACAAACTGGACCAAGACACAGGCCTGTACTCCTGTCTGCCCTCCCCACTAGTATCGATATACTTGTTCAATCGTATTCTCATTATTCTGCATCGTGTACACTTGTCTGTTGATAATCCTACCAGATGCATTATTTAACTCGGATGGTGAGCCAACGAGAGAGCTTGGAAGCTCAGGGTACTACAGGCTATGCTTTTTTGCCTTGATGACTTAGACAAAAAAAGCATTTAAAAAAAAGTAAATTATCGTGTCCGTTCCCGAAGGGAACTCACGACGGCCGCTAACACCCGGTAAACCCTAGCGGCAGATGCAGCGCCTAACGGTAACGAAACAAAAAAAGAAGCATAGGGATGTTATAAATTCTTATAAATTTCTACTTTTTGTTTTTAGACATTACCTGGGATTCGAACCCGCACTATCGCCCTGCATGCATCCCCCGATACACTTCGCATACATACTAATTCTTCCAAGTTGCTTCACGTTATGATCTTGTATTTGAAAGCCCGATTTGAATACCTATGCATTGTGGCTAGCCGTCTTTGATTGTACGGTATGGTACGGGACAGTTACGGGACAGGTACGGGACAGGTACGCGACAGGTACGGTAGAGGGTAGTACGACACCATCTACCGCCTTGATGACGGCAAAAAAAGAATAGGGATGTTATAAATTTTTCAATTCTCCTATTTTTCAGGCATTACCTGGGATTCGAACCCGCACTCTCGCCCTACATGCATTCCCCAATACACTTCGCATTCATATAGTCCATCGGCCAAGTCTCAAAATCGAAAGTGGTGATGCACTGAGCTTCCAACTAAACGCGACCATACCCAGCACGTAGAGAATATATCAGAGAACACTATTCCGTTTGTTGGACGTGCCGAATTCAGTCCAGGGCGTCGATACGAAGCGTTCTTCGTCGCCGAGTTTTTTACTGTGCGCTCCATTTGAGAGTGCGCAGAGTTCTGATCGAGAGTTTTTTGAGCAGATTTTCAAATTTTTGAGGCTGTCAGCTGACAGCTGTCAACCCTAAATGGCACTTAGTATGTGACAGGCAATAGGTTTTGGTGCCTCCGTATGCCTTCTAATAAGTTCTATCTTCCTTCGTTTCACTTCGCTGCTTCGCCCACCACCTCAGGAGATGACAGCGTACCTGCACTAGTCAGCTCTCGCTAACCCTGTCTCTCTTTCTCCGTCTTAGCGCTCGTCATTTGTGTCCTTCTGCTGTGGCGAGCTTGATACTGTTGTGTCGTAGTTTTTAGGCAATAGTGGCTGTTGTTCGCGTGACGATCAGGATTTATGGAGAAAGACGACGACTCGCCAAGTTCCCATGCAGCCACAGACGGCGTAGCAATTCTTACCGCCAACCCTTCGAGCAACGGAACCGGCCTGAGTTGGAAGTCGTGTGTGTGTAATTGTGCCACGATACGGATGAAACACACAGGCTCACATGTGACGAGATGAAGATAATCTCAACAGGCTGACGGAAATCCAACAGGCTCACGGGAACGCTGCAGTTATGGTCGGAGACGCGGAGTTATTTAGTCACTGGTAAATGTTGCATCGAGTGCTGTGTGCTCTAACACAATTGTAAAAATCATGAAAAAGCGAAAATAATGCAATGGTGGGGCTGAGTGGTGTTCTGTGGAGGAGACGTCGCTGTCTCAGTATTCAACGCCGGACCCTGTATTTCAAGTCTGTGGTCATGCTCGATCATAAGTTTCTGTATGGCTCCAGTGCCTTCTCAGCATTGTTGGCGGGTAAGCACCTGGATCGTGTCCAAGTACTGCGGCTCTGGTGGCTTGAGGGATGTACGGGTGCTCGCCGTGCACCCCTGCCGGCAACCTGCTAGTGAAGCTTGGTACCTACTGTGTCCGGGAGATTTTCATCCAGAAGCTGATCTTCCTAGGCTGGAGCTGCTGCTACTCCTGTGCTAGCCCTCAACCACTGGCGCTCCTACTCGGCTCCAGTGTGGGCCATTAACCACCCTGCCCGATTTCGCACTGTTGCTATTCCACACCGTCAGCATTTAACTCTGAGGTCAGACCTTGATCCCTCCCACCATATGCTATCTGTCTGTCTGCCTCTCTCTCACACACAGATGTGCGCGCATACACACAAACACACATGCACACACACACACATGCACACACACGCACATGCACACACAGTGACACAAACATACACATAGCCAACTTCTCTGTGTTTGGTGATCATCATCTGTTTTCTGATGTGCAAGCTCACCTCTGATGCCGATTACTTCCTTGCTTAGACCCGGTCTGCTATTAGACCAGTCTGCTCTCCCTTCACTCGCTTGTAAATCCTACTTGGAGCAGTAAGGTTGTGTCGCTGCTCCTACTGATGTCATTGTTGTGAAAGCAATATCATCGCCATTGGTGGTAATTTTCCACCGTGCATGAATCATTAACAATCATCATCTATGTGTCACGGCCTAACCATCCTCGTAACTCCCCTCATTGTGACTAGTGCTGTACCGTTGAAACCTACTTTGCTTCAGTGTATATTCGCTCCAAAGCTCTTGTTTTGTTGCATAGTGATCTGACGCAGTGTGCTATAGCCTATCGGGTAATATGGATAAGATTAGTACAGTCGGCATCGCCTATCGAGTAACCAGGTACATGCATAAGGATACTAGTACATGTATACCGGCTTAATGATATCGGAACACAAATAGCACTATGTGTGCAATATTCCTTTCTAAGCTCACGCTGTGCGGTGCAGATAGGTCATGTGTCGTTGCCAACTTGCCGCATGTGCATGTGCAGCAGAAAGGCACCACATGTCGACTACTACAGTAAGATCGGGCGCCGAAGAACGCAGGGGCTCGAGCGCAGCCTAGGAAAGTTCTTAAATTTTTGATTCTAGCCGGACCGTTCTTATTCACACGCGCGCGCGGCAAGTCGAGTGACGTCATGACGTTTGTCATGTACATGTACATGTAGTGCAATGTAGTACTTCTAAACTAGTGCTAGTAGTGGGTGTCGTAAATGGGAATGACTGTACATGTAGCAGTTACTGTTTACACGTGTACATGACATGTACTCACCTCCCATACATGTACTTGTACAATGTAGATCTACGTGTAAATTCGCAACTTCGTGTAAGTACATGTGTGACAACGTACATGTAGTCGTAACTTGAGCTCAAAGCCGATCAGTTAAATACTGCACTCATGTGGAAATTCCAAATTTTAAAAGTGTTCTTAAATCTGATAATTCTAGCCTGGACTGTTCTTAAATTTTGCCGGTTTTCCAGCCTGGGTGGTCTTCGGCGAGGTGTTCTTCGGCGCCCGATCTTACTGTACTTATACTGTACAGCATTGTGTGCTTACATGCATTTACGGCCTTGTGGATGCAATTGAGTCTCACATACATGTACATGAAATATTGCTTGTAGTGCGGCATCAGGTGTTAATACAATGGCTAAATATTTTTCTCGCAATAATGACCGTATTCACCACAAGTGTGTTTATGTCCAGAGCCAACTCAAGTCCTGTATTATTTATGACCATGACAACAATACTTCCGGGCTGAAATTCTTCTATGACAGGCATGAACACTTGCCTTACAATTGTTCGTGATTGTACGAAGTACATATTCGCTGTTGCATCAATTTTGCACCATTTACATTGTAGTGCCACTAGTGGTATCACCTGCATGCGTATTGAGTCAAACAAGGTTACCTCTGTATAATTATGCTTATCGTGGCTATCAAGAGCTTCGATGCAAATTCCCAGCTGACGAATGGTGTCCAGCTTGTGTTCAGCTCAGCTGGCACTCACAACTCATAATAATTGCTCTCGAGACGCCAGATGAGATGTTTCAGCTACAATGTAGACAAAACGTCCGTGTTCAAGAAAGCCGTCACTTCATCTTCTGTCCATCCTCAATAGCACGTTCAAGCAAATACGTCTGAAACACAGTAGCGACAATCCGACAGCGGCGACACGCCGTCTTCTCCGAATGAGCTTCTACCGTTCTAATTCAGATTCCCCCAAAAATGTCAAAATAAATAATAGATTTCCACCAAGCTCGCTAGAATCTTGCGAACCGTCAACATGCATGCATTTCAAGTGTTCGAGCGTGCGTAGATTCTGCTCAGCGGCTCAAGAACATTCGCCAAGCGAAAAAAAGTCGATGAGAAAGATGTAATGGTGGACGAAATTACGAAAATCGGAAGAAGGTATTCGACCCAGTTCGACTATCCTGGACTGGATTGGCAACGTCCAACAAACGGATTCGTATTCTATGGGGTCTCATGAGCTAGTGTGCCAAAGGGCGTTTAGTTGGAGCTTCAGTGCATCACCTTCGCCGAAAGAGGCCCTTTCTGAGATTTGGCTGATGGACTAATACTCTTTCTTCCAAGTACCAGTAGTTGCTTCACGTTATGATTTTTGCGTTTGAAAGCCCTATTTGAATAGTGCGGCCAGCTGTATGTGGCCAACTGTGTTTGATGGTACGGTACGGGACAGATACGGGAAAGCGCCAGGCGTGACACAAACACACAAACACCAAATTAAAGCTGTGTGGACCCTGGCTAGCGCCAGACGTTACTGAAGTAACGTCTTCTGCATAGCTACGGGAATTAAATCATTATGCCATTTTGTCGCACTCGCTGACTGTATAAGATCTGGTTACGTTCGTGGACAGTTAGTCATAACTCGTAACATTTTGTCCTTCTTTGCACAGGATGCATTATTCCACAGTATTTTTTACAAGTCTCACTGGCCTTCAATACAGTCATGGTGCATTTTCACCGCTTACTACAATTTTCACAGCATAACAATAAATACTACATTGCACAGAGATTCTACACTCTAACTGTGTGCATGTAACCGGTGAAAATACACCGGTACCCCATTACCCCATTAGTGGCGATCTGCAAAGCGCGGGAAAGCATGCACACTAAGTCTTGATCATAC